ATACGAGGGGGAATGGCAAAATGACGTACGGAAAGGGCAGGGCATTTACTACTTTTCGAATGGTGATAACTATATGGGGAATTTTGAAAACGGTAAGTTTAAGATTATATTCTTCGCCTATCGAATGCCCTATCTAGAAGACCGTCTATAATGTGTATTAGAGAGAATAGTTCGTTCGCTTTGGCTTATCCATTACTGTATAACATGCTTCCAGTATTACGAGTTCTTGAGCAATGCAAAAACAATCAACACACTTAGCTATCAAGTATTGCATTCACTGTGAGTGTATATGGCAAACACATTTAATAATAAAAAATAAATAAGATAGGTAGGGTAGTGTTACAAATTCAGAGAACACAGCTTTGGAAAATTTTCAGATAGCCTTTACAGTAGCTCGCTAAGTTTAGAACTGCTTGCTGTTCTCAGATGTCGGCAGGCCGAGCACTCGTCGGCTCATAGAGGCGGATCCAATGGATCTCCAGTCGTTGTGGCCACACATGTTCAAATCATTGACAGTTTCGAACTCAGCATCAGCATAGTTGATAACTTACCGTCCTCTGAATCTAAGGCCAAAGGCAATAGGGGAATCGGTGACCTTTTCTCATTAGGTTAGTTGCAAGCTTTTTCCGAAAAACGTTGCGAATGAGTTTTCAAAAATGTATAAACATCATATGACATCAAGAATACACGTCTTTAAAAAATGATAAAATTTAAATGCCATTTTGAAGTTAAAACTAGTGTTCACATTTTATAACACATTACGGATTGATTTCTACGTCGTTTTTCCACGTTCCTTTTCTGACGGTTCCATTCGCATATGTATACACGCCAGTTCCATGTTTTTGATCATTTTGCCATCCGCCAGCGTACTTATCTCCAGAAGTATAGAAATTAACTCCTTGGCCACTCTTTTCATCATTATGCCAATGTCCTTCATATCGTTGACCACTTGGCCAAGAATATAGCCCATGACCAGTCATCATGCCGTTCTTCCATTCTCCGTCATATTGGCTGCCCTGTTTCCATTTCATTATTCCTTTTCCATGTTGATGATCATTTGACCAGTTTCCGTCGTAAATGTCGCCATTACTATAACGTTTGATGCCTTTTCCAGAAAGTTTATCTTAATTGTACAAAGAGAACAGAAAATGATATCGCAACGTCTGAGGTAGTGCCTTTAGAGTTTATTCGCATTTCTTTCCTACAGAGAAAAGTGGGCTCTAGAAAGGCTGCTACAAGTAAAATGCAACTTTTCTCGAACACCAAACCAGTGAGCAAGACTTTATGGGCCAAATGTTTTTTTAAGATAAGAATACTGACTACGTCAGAGATCCGGTATTCGCTGTGGGAACTGTTTTCCTCAGACTTTCTGGAAAAACACTACGGCAGTTTTTGATCGCATGGTTTTCATATGCTTTCATCTATATATTAACTTACCGTTTTCAAAATTCCCCATATAGTTATCACCATTCGAAAAGTAGTAAATGCCCTGCCCTTTCCGTACGTCATTTTGCCATTCCCCCTCGTATCGATCTCCCTCCACGTAATATTTGGTGCCACGACCGTGCATCTTGCCCGCAACCCACTGTCCAACGTACCTAAATAACGCGTGAAGAGAAATTAAAGATGAACGGTCAGAGATCTAAAAACTATTGTAGCGATTACATTTTTTACTAACCACAAGTCTTCGCACCCAAAACTTTTTTTGGTTACAGAATGTGCAATTTGCATCTAAACTCGGTATATCCGGCGAAACGCGGAAACCTCAACTTTTATCCCTTGCTAATCATCTGATATGCTTCGATTCTGGAGACTGATGCAGAAAAGTGAAAGCAAGTAGAGCTAGCTTTGATTTATACCTAACTCAAACGTAAATGCTTTAAAAGATCATTTAACGGAATAGTCAGCCTAACCTCACCATGAGATATAATTATTACACCTTTATCACATCAATCGTATGAAATAAAAAGTATGCTGACATTTGACTTAAGTGATCGTCTAGAGGTGTGCTGCCACTGCAAAAATATATGGAGGAACAAAGTTTTGAACAAAGAAATAGAAAAAGAATACACCTGAGGTAGATGTGTTCAACTGCTCTAAGTTTTTGTAAACTTTTCATTGTTCTCTACCGCATGTGCAATCTCGTGTGCTGCACAGTGGGCAATCACGTGGACATTAGGTGGAAAAATGAAAGTGAGATTTTTTGAGATATGAATAATGCTCAATATACTTTAGCTAATGACGAATTTTTTGATCCAAAAATGTTTTTCTAACTCTCTAACTTACTTGAAAAACCTAGGACCTGAAAAAGGT